AGTGGATCTGTCCCAGGCTTGGCTAATGTCACAGTTTTAGCATTACAATCTAAGATTGCAAAATTTGGAGAAAGCCAAGTCATACCGAGAATTATATCGAAATCAACCATTTCTAGGATAATCCAGTCTACATGAGTATTGCTGGCCACAAAAGTCACAAGACAAGACCTATACAGCTTCTCAACTATTACAAACTCACCCACCCGGAGTAGAAACACGAATAGGCATGTCAAGCAAATCACAATGTAAATCAAGACTAGTAGCAAATGAGGAAGATACATATGAAAATGTGGATCCAGGATCAAATAATACGGAAGTCTTGCAATCACAAACCAAAAGATTTCCTGTGATAACAGCATCAGATGTCTCTGCTTCAGACCTCCCAAGAAAAGCATAACAATGGGCCCTATCACCTGTCTGCCTGTTGCCCCTACCATGTTGTGCTGCAGGGGTTCAAACTTGTCCGCCACCTCGGCTGATTTGGGGACCACCATTACCTTGATCAACACGTCCTCCAGAATGGCGGCCTCTCCCATGACCATCTCTACCTCTAACTATTGGGGGTCTGTAACTCTGTTTTGGACAAAACCTCCTAATATGTCCAGTCTCTCCCCATCCACAACACTCTCTGGAGTCAAGCATAGGCCTCTATGAGAACGACGAAGTCTAGGGATAACCTCCAAACTCAGAGGAATGTTGACCGGTCTACGGTGGACCCCCAGCTACAGCCTGTAGTGAAGACTGAATAGGTCGGGCTGGGTAACCTCCTAAACTGTGCCCTCTAGAGTAAGAACTACTAAAGTCACCTCCCTTGCGGAACTTCTTAGGTGTCGATGCCATGGTGAAGTCGTCTGGCTTCACCCCCTCTACCTCTATCACAAAACCTACCACTTCCTGAAAGGATTTTGCTGCATAGGCTAAAATCTGCAAATCTGACCTCAATCCCTTCACAAAACAGCGAATCCGTTCTTGTGGACTGAAGCAAAGCTGGGTGGCATACCTGGATAATGCACGAAACTTAGCCTCATAAGCAGTAATCGACATCCTGCCTTGCTCTAGGCTCAGGAACTCATCTCTCTTCCTATCCCTCAAAGTCCGGGGTATATACTTTTCTATAAACAAGCTAGAGAATGATGCCCAAGTCATAGGTGGTGCCTGTGCTGGTTGACTCTCAACATATGACCGCCACCACATTTCGGCATTCCCCTGAAACTGATAGGTCACAAACTCAATGCCAAATCGTTCTAATAAGCCCATATTATGTAGTAGCTCATGACAATCAACCAGAAAAGCATAGGCATCCTCAGATTCAGCACTCCTGAAAACTGGAGGTTTCAACTTCAAGAACTTAGTGAAAAGTTCATGCTGATCAGTTGTCATTATAGGCCCTGTAGTCAACCGAGGAAACATGCCTATTTCCAATGAGGCATCCATGTGGGGAGCCACAGCAACTGCATGTTGTACTCCCGGAGCCTGATGTGCTGGTGCAGAAAACACTAGAGGTGCTTGGCCTTGATCGGATAACCCACTAAGATAAGCAAGAACCTGGTTAATCATCTCTTGGGTAGGTTGGGGTGGTAATTCCTCAGTCTGCACTTGCTCATTCTCCCCTTCCTCACCCTCTCTTACTACTTCCTCAGTCGGTGGAGGAGTCACCGCCCTAGTACTAGCTGGGCTAGGTGTTTGTCCTCTTCCTCTAGAGGACGTCCTCCCGCGACCTCTACCACGGCCTCTTGTCACTTCTCCTCTTCGAGCTACAGCCCCAGTGGCTGGCTCAGACGCACCCTGTCTTGCCGGTGTTGGTGTTGGCGCAGTCGTTGCTCTAGTTCTAACAATCTGCAAAATAGAGTGAAGATGGTCAGATACCAATTTGTATCACCCAGATACCAATTGGATCCAAGTAATAGCACGAAAGAAAGAAAGAATGGAATTTTCCTAAAGTCCTATAGCCTCTCAAAGAAAA